AGGAGGGATGAAGTGGCAGAAATTTCATTGGGAGGGAGTTCCAGAGAATGGGCACTGATGGAAAAAGCCTGCTTCGGAGGCCCTCTCAGATAACAATCCTGCACGGTTGGGGCCTGGAGATCATTGATCGTTGAGATCTGGTTGGATGGATAGATGAATGCCAGAGGATATGGTTTCTGAGGTACCCTGGATAAGAGCCATATAGGACTTTAAAGGTCACCACTAACATCCTGGATCTCACCCAGAAGACCACTTGCAAACAATGGAGCTCCTGCAGACAGATCACCCAAATATATTTGGGCACATCCATCACTGCCTGCGCCAACATTTTGCACCAGCTGTAGCTTCCAGATGTTCTTCAAAGGCAGCCTCATTTATAGTGCTTTATAGTAATCCAACTGGGAGGTGACCAGGATATGAGTGGCCATGAGCAAGATCTAATGATCCAAGAATGGCTGCACACCAGATATAATGGAAATGCACAAACTTCTCAAGACAATGTAATGATTTCTCCAGCCATTAATGTCAGCACATTCATCTTAGAATCATGATGTTAAATACATTTACAGCATCAGATTCAGCTTAGTTATCATTTAAAGAACCAAATAAAACTGGAGTTGCAGTTTCAATACCGGTGGAGGATGCCAATCTGGAAATCCCTTGGGTATGGTCTTATTTTCCTTCCTTTGTTCTTCACTCCACAAATCAGCATCTCTCAACTCTGCCATACTTTCTTTCCTTCACCCACCAGTTTACCCACCACTAACTTCATCTTCACCAACACATCAGACCAAATAAGTAGTAGAAAAGTGTTGGACTTGAAGCAGGAAGACCAAGGTTCAAGGCTACCTTTGACCATTCAAGCTCACAGGTTGACTTTGGGCCAGTCACTCTCTCCCTCATCCCAACCTACCTCAATATACCAGTCTTCTTGAGCTCCTATATATGTCGGCTATAACTAAAGAAATCATGTAATTGCCCTGCTGGGAATACAATGGATACAGCCTGCCTGGGAGGGCTCCCTTCCTGTTTTCAAAGGAGTTCTCACCTAAACATTCCAATCTCTTGGCCATTATCTGCAACCATTTTCAGCACCAACATTTCTTTGTCTGTGTTTGATGAATACCTGGACAACCGGGGGTGGGGGTGGGGAAGGGAGGGAGAAAAGAGAAACTTTCACAGCAACTGTACTATTTAATTGTGGAGTCAGAAGCAAACATTTAACAGATAGACTACATAGGACACAGTTCCTTGGAAAGGTCTCTTGTACATCCATCCATATATATACTTCTAATGTCATGGAGGTTATACAAGAATATTGTTCTGCTGTAAAAAGGCCTTGTCGGATATGTGGCAAATCCCATTTTTATATTGCTCTGGTTTTTCAACTAATAATGCTTTACAGCGATATTTATATCTATTATACCACTATTATACCATGGATGTTTTGTTTTCTGTAAACTGCTGAATGGCATAAGTTTCAAGTGGTTTAAAAAGAATAAATAAATGAATGGCCCAGAAAGAGCCCGAAAGGGAGTGGAAGGAGAAAAGAGACAGTGCCTTCTAAATATCTTGTCCTCTCCTTCTGGGCATGAATGCATTTTGGAAAGCGATTGGGGAAAACTAACCATGAAAGGAGGAAAAGGATCTATGGAGAAACTGGTGCTAAAACCCTACCAAAACCCGAAGCCAACTTCATTGTGTCGTTCTTGTTAAAGGCAACCAGAAGGGAAGCCAGAACAGGGCGGCTTTCCGATGCCTCCGTGTGTACTGTCTGTCACGATTTTTTGTTTTCAT